TCCTTAAGCCCTGTTCAGGGTCCACTCAATGTGGACATGCTAGTTCGAATTAGCAAAACGCTAATTCGAACTAGTTTTTAGTTCTAGACGTGTTAGTTCGAATTAGCTTAGTTCGAATTAACTAATTCGAACTAAGTTAGTTCGAACTAACTCTGTAGTGTAGACATGCCCCCAGAAAGTTACCAATTAGTGATGATTGAATGGGGAATTATTGCAATGTTGCCATAGTTCATCCAGGAACTGGAACAAGTCCACAATTGTGGTTCACCCTGGCTGAATGGTCCCTAAATGCTTTTACTGGAGATTAGTTTTATGAAATAATCGTTTCCTCTCAATACATATAAAACAGTGAATTTCAAACTAGGATACACATAGCAATAGGCTAGGGTATGCAAGGTCTCATCAGGGTGTATGGGAGAACTACCAATACAGGACTGTCAACACAGACCTCTTCTCCTCCCCATTTTCATAAGCAGATAGTTCAGTGAGCTGGGAAAGGCATGTAGCAGAGCAGGACAGAGTGGAGCAAGCTTCTGGATCGCTCCGACTCCTGCTGCTGTGGTGAGTGTGACTGTTGCCGCCCCACACCAGGCCTCCTAGGAATTCCCCTGTCTGCCCTGGACCTCCTTCATAGGATGGTTGAGGTGGCTGCTGCAGAACCTGACCTCCCCCCCAAACCATCCTATGGATGGGACAGTTCTGCATGGGTATATTCTGACCCAGTTAATTTTAGATATTTAAAAATCTTCACATTAAATTAACCTTAAACAGTGTTGAAGACAGTTACCATATATGGGAATACCCAGAATCCTTTTCAGGTGGGTTCAAAACAGTTTTGCCTTTGATTTAAGTGGATCAAGGATTACACCCCTGTTGCTTCACTTAATCATCCCAGTTTAGCTGTTCCAAGCGAGATCTACACTGCACTGTGCCTGTGACGGAACTATGATTCTGCAAAGATCTGTGCAGATGAGTTCAGTAAGATTAGTCATGTGCTGCACTTTAAAACTCATACATCTTTGCAGGATCAGGGCCTGATTTTTGTTTCAGTTGAAAGTAGAGTAAGTACAGGTTGTCCCTGCCTCCTCTGGCACCCTTGGGACATGACCAGTTCCGAACAAGGGATTTTGCCAGGCCGGGGAGGTCCCCCGTCACTGGCCTCCCAGCCTGCTGCCTCTTCCCAGCTGCCTGCCCTGCAAGGGAGCCCTGCCCCAGGGAATATGTGCTGCCTCAGACCCCACTGCTGCTGACATAGCCAGGAATCCCTGGGGCCAGGGCTCTCTGGCTGTTGTCAGCCCCACTGCTACCAGTGTGGCTGGGCATCCCTGGAGCAGGGACAGCCAGCCCCATTGCTGCTGGGGTGGTGGGGGAGCTTCAGCCCTGGGGTCCACTGCCACCACCGTCTCCGCTGCTGCTGGCTTGACCAAGTATTTCTGGCCCCAGCAGTCCCCAACCACTGGTGGCCCCTGGTGCAGCTGGGCATTCCAGTGGGTCAGGAATCCCTGGATTGAGGCTCCTCAGTGGGGGCCCCAGTGCATGCCAGGGCTTTCTGCTCTAGCTCTTTGCTGCCCCAGAGTGTTCCAGATTTGGGAGACTGAACATGTAGAAGCACCGAAGTAAACTCTGAGAATACACTATATCCTGTATATTGGTTGAAACTTAAGCTACATATATATATATATACATACATATATTAGCAGGGCTCACCAAGCGGCGGTGAGTCCCGCTCGCCAGCCACGCAGTTCGGCACACTTTGCATTCGCAGACCGCGCCACACATGCACTGACCGAGCTGTGCCATCTTGTAATCTACTCGCCCCGGGCGAGTAGATTACACTAATTGTCAAACCCTGTATATTAGTCTTATAGGTAAAAGTTTACACAGCACTTTAAAAAGGGACTGCTGGTTTACATCATTCATTGACAATGTAAGCGGGGGAATGGTCCCGCTATTGTAGGGAACTTTCCTGGCTTCTATACTACTACGGTGAAATGGACTAGCGAAAAGATCTGAGTCCCTGCTCCCACTTCTTTTACCCAAAGGCCTCCCTGACCCTGAGGGTTCCCCTTCCACTCTCCTAAGTAGGAGAGTCCTCGAAATCCCAACAAGGCTGGGCCCAGGTTTTCTGGGGCTTAATCCCCGACCTTGTAGTCACTTGGGGCAGGGGCTAGAGTGTCCCCACTCCGGGGTGCTCTCTGCACACTGCATGCTTTCTTGACCCAGTGATCATTTCATACAGTTCAAAGCAAACACAATTTATTAAACAGGAACTGATTAAAAAGAAAAGAATAAGGAAAAAATGAGAAGGTTACATGAGAACACGTAGCCCTGTTCTGTAGCATGGGGACATCTCAAACAACAGTCTGCAGAGTGTAAGGACAGTTCACAGTCTGTTCCTTATAGGCCCAGGACTCTTTCTCAGGTCCTGGCTGTGCTGCAGGGGGGGCTGCATGCTGGACACGCTTGTTCTGGCAGTGACCACAAGGCATCAGGCTCTAGGTGGCAGGACCCCTCTCCCAGTTGGAGTTACAATCCCTCTCCAAGTCTGGCCTGCAGGGCCTCTTGGCTGGTGGCCTGTCCCTGCCCAGAGCCTCTTTTTCCCCCTTTGCTGATCCCAGCCATCACAACACCAAGCTGCAGACTGTGCTGCTTTGCCAGACTCCAGTTCCTTGTGTTGCTTCTCTGACCCCTTTGGCTCTGGTCACTGCAGGTTTGTAGCTCAGCACAGGGTCTGCACTCCTTGGGCTGTGTGTGCCTGGCTCTGTCACTGCAGGTCTACTTCTTAGCACAGGGTCTGCGCTCTGTGGGCTGTATGGGCCTCTGGCTCTGACACTGCAGGTCTGTCTCTCCACACAGCTTTCTCTTCCTCCTGCTCTTCTCAGTTCGCTCTCCTTTTCTCACAGAGACCCAGAAAATCCCAGATCACAGGGAGGATGGGATCTGTCCTCCTAATTTCCTCATTGGCCTGTCTAACCTGTCAATCAGGCTGAGCTGGAGTGTTGGCCTCTTTCCATTGTCCCTGGGATCTGTCAGTCTCAGGGCCCTGATTTCTCATGGACCCTTCCCCTTTTGGTACTGGGAGCTGGCCAACCAAAAACCCCCACTGAGTTTTAGTAAGGGGCTAACAGTCCCTCTACAACAAGAAGAGCTTTATGGGGAACAGTGTATTACATTAAGAATATTATCACACTCCTCTGCATGTTGACAGCTGTAAACATCTGCTAAGAAAGTTATTCATTGTTGGTAAAGTGTGTCTCATAAAGTACTTCTGGAAGGCCAACTATCATGTGTTCTTGAAAAATTAAATTGTAATGTCATTTGGAAAAAGTGAACAGACAGATTTGTTTGGAGAATTTCTGATACATGACTTCAGACTCTCTTAATATAAACCATAGTATTAATACTCTATTCCAGAAATTAAGTCTTAGTAAAAGGATCAGAATTCATAGTCAATTAAAAAAAATGTGTAGCAGATTATTTTAAACATACATTTCTATATCAATGTGAGATTTCTCTTTCAGATATTATTCTTTAGAAGTTGAAACAACCTTTTCTGCCCCTTAAATTATATTCCTAATAAATCCTCCCATTTTGTGCACCCACGTATGTGAAACAAAAAAGCATGAAAAAGTTGGCAAAGTATTTTTGCTGTTGTTTTTTTCATTTAATCTTTAAATGTAAGGTTTTGTGTAGAATACACTAATACTTTTCCAGTAGAGTTTTGGGCAATCAAAAATGCACCAGTGTTTTTCCCATCAGTTCTCATCCTAGTTAAACTGTTCCAAGGACAGGGAAAAAGTACAGGGTTGTACATTAGAGGAGTGTCTTTGTGATACTATTCATTCTCTGTCCTGACAGAGAAGTCATTGTTTGTTCACTGTAATAGGCTTGGCAGCCAAATATGGTAGAGATCTGTGCTGCGCATACAGAATCAGAAAATAGCAGAGTGGACAAGAATATCAGAATTCCAAGAATTGAATTAATTAGAAGACAGAGTTTTATACTGTGTGGCTAATAATTTTTCATGGTATCTTTGGTAAAAGGAAATGGGTTCCTGGATGAAGAAACCTTTTCAGTTGAAGGTAATATTTTTGCTTGTATGTTAATTCTGTTTAATTAGTTATTAATTAAAAATGCACACAATAGAAACAAAATAGTTCTACTGTCTGCAGCATTCTTTGGAAGAATAGGCAGTTTAGAACAAACAGTAGCTTGATAATAATCAGCCTTGCAGAAATTGAGGATTATTTAAGTTTAGAGCCATTCCCCTTTTAAGAGCAGCTCCCATTACCATTAATGAGAATTCTTTATGTGCTCCCATCAGAGGAAGAAAAGACCATTTAGTTTCCCAGGCTTCATTTTATAGTCAGTAGCTACTGTATATATGCAGTGTGAACTGAGGATTTTGCTAATAGAGCTACATTTATGTATAGCCACTAGATAGGATAAATAGCCCTGCCTGTTACCAGATACAGTTCTGTACCTTTCAGGTGCTCTCGGTGGTATAAAACATTCCACACTGTGGTAAAAATTAACATTTGTTCCACATACTGCATCAGAAAGGGAAAAAAACAGCTTGTGTTTATTAAGCAGTATTTCTCTTGGTGTTTTGAGATTGCGAATTGTGCTGAGCAGATTTTTATATGGTAATGCAGATGTATTTCCTCTGATGTCCTTACAAGTTAAGTGGCTGGTTTATGTTTCTACTCCTCTGTGACTGTTTCAGTTGTAAGTGCATTATTGGAAAAGTTCGTGCTGTGTGAGTTAAACAGACATTTTTGATTTAGTGAATTCAGAATGAACATGATTTTCAAAAGTCAGTGACTAGTAATTTTAAGTGCCCAACATGAGATGCCTTGAGAGGGTGGAAGCTGAGTACTGAGTCAGGTCGTATCAAATTGGACATCCAACATCTGGAAAACTCAAAATCACTAGTGACTTTTGAAAATTGTTACTTACTCTATTTCTTAAACAGAAAAGAAATCAGAAATGGAGAAAGTTTGTGGCTCACAATATCAGATCTTACAATAGACGTCTCCTTTTATATTGTACAGAGCAGCACCAACTGTTGCACATCTGGAAGCTTTCATTAGGAAAGCATTGCCAGGCCCAGAGGGCACGCTCTACTTTGTGCTCCTGTGCATTACCTTGTATGTGAAGTTGTAGAAACATGCGGACAATGACAACATTAGTCATTGCCTATCAGACTGGACAACAGGCTGCCAAAAGCACTAACTTTACTAGCTGACCAACTAAAAAGCAAGCTCACCAGCCATAAGTCAGTCATCACACTGGATATACAGGGCATGTCTACACTAGGAAATTATTTTTAAATCATTCATTTCAAAATAATAACTCCCAAAATAACTATTTCAAAAGAGCATTTCCATGCTATAGGCAAGCCTCGAAGTTAGTCCAAGGAAGGCTCCTTTAATACCTCCACTTAGAGCCCCAGGAATCACTGGGGAGTAATTACTTTGAATGGCTCATGGGGGGGAGGGCTGTAGTTAATTCAAAACAGCAGCAAGTGGAGCATCCACACTAGTGCTGTTTTGACAGAAGCATTATTCCTTGAGGAAAGCAGGAGTTATTCTTTTGAAATAACCAGCCCCTTATTTTGAAATAACGGGTTTGGTAGAGTGGACATTCTGCCTGTTATTTTGAAATAAGGGGAATTACTTTGAAATCACTTCCTAGTGTAGACCAGGGCTTACGGAGTTAAAAGAAAATATTATTTTGCCACAGGAGACAGAGATGGTGACAGTTTTTCACTTGAAAATACTGTACCTGAAAATAGATTCTGTCGGCAGTACAGGGTCTGATCTTCCGTTGATGTACACATGTAATTCCTGTATAGAAGTAGCTAGGCAGCTATAAGATGGAGTTGGGTCAGAAACAGAAAGAGCAAATCTTGGTTCAGCTTCTTGCTCCCTGCTAAGAACAGCCTGTGATGGTCCCCCACTCTCCATGCTTTATGAAATTGATTTATGGATACAATATGCATAACTGGAAGATGCGTTGGACAAAATACCTCATGTAACTTATCAATTTCAATGTCTCAGTCTGCTGAATCTGTATATCTTATTTTGGTATATCTGTCACTCTTGTATGTAAAGTTAGAGATATGGGCTACGTCTACACTGGCCCCTTCTCTGGAAGAGGCATGCTAATTTACAACTTTGGAATAGTTCAAAGTTGCTTCAAAGTAGGAATAAGAGATCCTCCGGAATAGGGCTTTATTCCGGAGGATCGCGCCAGTCTAGACGCTCTTTTCCGGCTTTTCCCCAAGCCGGAAAAAAAGCGGCGGACATGTTTATTTAAATCCCGCGGGGGATGTTTAAATCCCCCGCGGATTTCCCTATTCCAAAGTTGTAAATTAGCATGGCTATTCCGGAGAAGGGGCCAGTGTAGACGTAGCCATGGAGTATGGAATGAATTATTGTTTTAAATGTGCAAATGAAAGCCATCAAGGGTTTTTCCCTCAATGTCTGGGTGATCACCTATAGATAGGTTTTCTACTGATTTATGACAGTCTGGTTTTCTACCGGACAGTCCGGTATTTGCGCCCTCTGTCTGGTCAAAAAATTCAGATAATACCGGACATGTGCAATGTCCGGGATTTCTGGCTGGGCACCAGACAGAAGCCTAGCAGGAGCTAGGGAAGTGGCTGGGGGGCGAGGCCTGGTTGTTGCTGGAAGCCCTGGCTGCATCTGATGCCTTGGGGAGGAGGAGAAGCCCTGTCCCTGCTCCTGAGTGCGTGGTGGAGCTGCAGCTGGACTCACTTGAGCTTCTCCGGACCGTGTGTGGGACTGACAGTGCCCCAGGATCTGCATGTGCCCAGGTGAGTCCCGCCCCCTCCCCCGACCCTTCCCGCCCATCCCTGCTTCCTGCCAGCCAGTTCTTCTCCTCCTGATCTCCCCTGGCCAGCTATGCTGCCCCCCGCTTCCCAGCTAG